CAGCTATCCAGTGCGTTGTGATTGGCCGAATACCTCAAGCGTGTGACGGAAATGTTACGCCCCTCACATACTGTGATGCTGCCCTGTCCGACGAGACAAAAACATTAAAACCCATTATAAACGAGGCATTTGTTGCATCCAGTGGGGACATAATTACGGATTATAATGACTTATACTGTCTTTTGCCGCATAAACGTAAAACCATGTCTGCATTTGTGATCGGAGAAATGACAAAACAACAAGTGCTACTCTACACTGCTCAAAACTCGCAGCACGTTTTCACAAGTTTATGTAAAAATATAAATGAATAAACTAAATGTATTTAATAAATAAAAGTTGAAATATAAAAATGACAAATAAATACAATTTAAAAAAATTGATATGCATTTAATGTATTGAATTTATGTGAATGTGAATTTCATGTTTCACTTTAAATTATTTACATTATTAATTACATTTTCCCATTTTAATAACCTTTTTATAGTGAATTTTAAATGCTCTTACAATTTGACAAATGAGTTTATAAACCTACTAATATTCCATGTAGCCTCAATTAATATGATCTCATAAAACAACATCTATGGTATATGATAAATTAGGAAAGTATTTAGACTTCACACATTGACTTGACACTGAATGTGAAATATTACAGTTTAGCATATTAAAATATGAAATATTAAATGTTTTAGGTAAAGTGTTTGATTTATGTGCAATTCACAAATAACATAAACTCAACATCTGTATAGAGGAAAATGTGTTTTAGATGCATGCTCATCTAATCCTGCAGAAGTTGTTCATTGCGTATTCTAATTAATATGAGCTCATATACTATTGAACATAACTGAATTATACATATGAAATGTTTGAATAGTTTGAAATGAAGAATAGTGTAGCATGTTATTGCAGGACAGCAGACTCTTCTAACCTGTCAACTACCCATCGTCATATTTTGTTAACGACTAATTAAAGTGATCCTGACCTCCCAGCCACTCAGAAGAGATGTTCTGCAGCAGTGTGAAGGGGATGCAGAAGAAGGTGATGAGCAGGTCGCTGACCGCGAGCGAGCAGATGAAGATGTTGGTGGCGGTGCGCATCGCGCGTTTACGCACCACGATATACACCACCAAACTGTGCCCGACCAGCGCCAGCGCGAAGATAATCACGTACATCACGACAAACGTGGTTTTGGCTCCGGCAGGGAGTTCTGGGATGTAGACCAAAGGCTGGATGTTGTAGGTGTGGATGAATTCCCGACGCGAGAGGTTGTAGTGCTGCAGGAGTTCGTGGAGAACCTCCGGGGTGATCTTCGCGGTGGCCGTCATCTCTGTAGAAGAAGACATTTCCAGCTTACACTGATCACGCAGAAAGGGAAAAAGCAGAAATGGGATGTTCTGCTCCTTCTGCTGCTCAGAAGCGTCTGTGGAGAGCGCCAGCGCGCGCGCTAGTATGTAGGCTACTGTATGTGCCAAGAATAGACTACTTTTTTTTTGGCCAACCTTGTAATGTTGCTTAAAGGTTTGATTTCCACTTCATGAAGTAATCCCTACAAAAACAAAAACAAACTATAGTTAAACCATGGTAACTACAAACTAACCATGATTTTGCAACACTAGCCATAGTTTAACGATGGTACTTGTTGTAAAACTGTGGTTATACAAATGGTAACCAATACGCCAAAAAACCATGGTTACTACACGATTACTACAATAAACCCATGGTTAATTTGCGTTAGGGATTTTTATTTATTTATACATTTCGCGTGCTTTACGTCTAGCTAAACTAAATTAGGCTGCGTAATTTAATCACATATCAAATACTGTTACACTTCATTTTAAGGTGTCCTTGTTACAGAGTAATTATACATTTAAGTACTGAGTAATATTAATTAACTACATGTACTTACTTTATGGTTAGGTTAGGATTAGGGTTTGGCTTAGGGTTACTTGCATGTAATTATGCATAATTAATTGTTATTATAATAGTAAGTACATGTAACGTGTAACAAAGACACCTTAAAATAAAGTGTTACCTAAAATAAATGTAATTGTAATCAGTTACAGTTACTGAGAAAAATTGTGTAATTAAATTACAGCTACTTATGAAAATGTTGACGATTACAAACGGGGTTACATCTGATTTTTTTTTTTTCACACACACCCACATACAGATTTAATTGATTTCTTTCATAAATTGCAGTGATTGCTCTAAAATATGAGACAGCAGTGTTTCAGGAGTTTAGGACACAGAACAGGACACATGCTTATTCCATAACTGTTTTATTTCCTATTTGGGTTTATGTATATGCTTTATTTTTTAAGATTAACTGTTTTCCCAAGGCATTGTTAGATGCCATGTTTCCTGTCGTAGATATGCAAATATTTGATTTCATAGCTACTAAACTAAATCTGCATTTAACCTCAGAATGATCTCAAAGTAAGTCTGGTTTTGTGGTGGCTGTGCTTTAAAATTCAATTGTTATAATCTTAATTACATTTCCAAAGTAACCTTCCAAACACTGGTTACCAAAATATGGTAACAAACATGTATAAAAATTTCAGTTCCTAATTTAGTTATTTTCTACCACTAAACATTAAATAACATTCAAATTAAATTTATTTGAGAATTCCTAGGTTAATAGTTATAGTAATGTAAAATAAATGTCAGATGGGATGTCAGATAATGTTTCTGGTCTCATGCTAACTAAGTTAGGATGTTTTGGTACCAAATGTTGGTACGTTTTTATTTGGGATTTCTGCGGGATCCTAAAGCTTGCCCTTGCACAAACTAAGGCTGATGATACATGGGGCAACTTTTTGAGCAATTTTGCCTTTAAGGCTTTAAAAGTTCTCATATTTACAGCAGAACGTCTTAAAGGGGTCATATGATGTTGCTAAAAAGAACATTATTTTGTGTATTTGGTGTAATGAAATGTGTTTATGCGGTTTAAGGTTAAAAAAACACATTATTTTCCCCATACTGTACATTATTGTTTCTCCTCTATGCCCCGCCTTTCTGAAACGCTCGATTTTTACAAAGCTCATCGTTCTGAAAAGCGAGGTGTGCTGTGATTGGCCAGCTATCCAGTGCGTTGTGATTGGCCGAATACCTCAAGCGTGTGACGGAAATGTTACGCCCCTCACATACTGTGATGCTGCCCTGTCCGACGAGACAAAAACATTAAAACCCATTATAAACGAGGCATTTGTTGCATCCAGTGGGGACATATATGCACCAAGAGCTTGTAACACTCCAAAGAGAAAGGAACAATTACAATCGAATCATATGACCCCTTTAATAAAGTCATGGTATTAAATATTGCATGCGCGGCAGAAAAACAAGTATTTTTGTTTTCCAGTAAATCCATTAAATCAAGATCCTTGAGATGCAAAATGAACATATGAAGTCTTGTTTTCAGAGAAATTGAACAACATTTTTTTTGTGAGTTTACGCTTAAAACAAGAACCAATATCTATCAATGGGGAATGAAAACCTGTTTTTTTTCCTTTGAATTAAGTTGATTTCTCTGAGCCCATTGGCAGATATTAGTTCTTTTTTTAATCATAAACTTTCGATTTCTTTTTTTTTTTTTCAAGTAAAATAAATCTTTTGCACTGGAAAACAAGACAAAACTATAGGATAAGCACTTTTTTGCACAGTGATTAGGAAAAATATAATTCTATATTCTAGTATTTGGGAGCAGCGCTATTTAAGCATTAAGCTGTTGTTTTTGTAATCTTAATTAAAATGGAGATCTGTTGGAAATTACATTTTCTAACTTTTAAGCATTGCTAATACAACTCATTGTTTTCCTCCTAAACATTTAGACATTAAATAACGGGAACATTAGGGAACAGTGTTTGCTGGTCTACTTCAAGTCTGTGTGAAAATTGATAATGCAATCAGCGGATTGAGGCTATTTGTCTTCCTACCGTGTTGTAGGGTGGGTGGACATGGTTGTGTTAAATTTAATTTGGTATATAATAGTTAATCTAATATGTTTAATGGGAAATGTGCCTTTGTTGCTTTACAAAAAGTAATTTCCAATAACTTCTGTGCATCCTGTCTGCATGGGCCAATTTATCACAGAGGAATGGTAAATTGAGGTATTATAGTGTATTCTTCATGCTGTAGCATATGTGTTGATGATACTTCAGAAGAACACACTTCATGTGTAGAAAATTACAGCTGAGTGCTCATGACTGACAAAAGTGGAGCTCACAATTGCCATCCATGCAGCAGAAATGTGACGCTGCATTGCATTGGTTAGTTTAGAGTCATGACCTGATTGATTCTTTGAGTGGTTTCCTTGGGTGAACAAATATGTGTATTTACCCTCATGCTTGGTCGATTGACGTTTCGGTGTTTATTTTGGCCTTTGCAGATATTGCATGTCAAATAGAGCAAGTACAAAAATACATTAAAGCAACAAGCAAACAACTGATAGGAGGTCTTAGCATGTGAAAATTGTGTTATAGTTTAGATTCTGTTTATAATAATTTTTCTTCAAAAATGTTAGAAAGTGTCAGCCTGATACTTCAATCTGAAGGAAGGGCCTCAGGGAGCAAACTTAAAGGTTAATACGTTTACTTGAACTCACGACCGCTTAAAGTGGCTTAAAATAATGCAAAATGAGTAGGTCGAGGTGTTTTAGCAGTCCTCAGCTCTGCTATAGGAGCTTTAGTCTGCTTTGTTCAGAGTCTCCAGGCAACAACAGCAAACATCAGAGGAACAGTGAACTGAGGTGAGCTGCGCATTTCAAAGTATTCCTAATAATAAATCACACTACCTGTTAAAAAACTGACTATTGCATGAATGCAATTTAAAAAAAAATTTAAAAGAACTTTTGTGTGACTAAATTGCTAAAATGATGAAGTATTGTCAGTGAAAATACATGACGTTTGCTTTGTGTCAAAGGAAATGAGTGGAAATGCTTTTATCTCTGAGTCCTGGTGAACAGGACCGAGCATTTGGAATGTTTTTCATTTTTTCTTCCAGAGATTATGGAGACTTCGGATGAGCAGGTGAATGAAGCTCAGCTGACGCAGTCTGTGCGTCAGGAGAAAGCACTGTGTGAGACGCCGGGCACGAGCAGGACTTCTACTAGGGGCAGCCTTCGCTTCGGGAGCCTCAGCCATCATTCCTTCTTCTCCAGACACAATCCTCATCCTCACAGAGTCAGACACATGCAAGGTGAGCTGCTTGCGTCTGCATGCATGTTCAAAAACACCTTCATGCTTGCGTTTGTCATTTTAAGGAAGCATTTCTATTACAAAGTATTCAGAAATCTGCTCTGGTCAAGATCAGACTCTTCTTTTAATTACAATAACTTGATTATTTACACAATGACAAGAAATTAATAGGTTAAAAAGCTTTTTCGGTGGGGACTGAGTAATCATGCATGAGGATGGGCAACTTCAAAATTTCGTAGTGTATTATTAAATGAAAATACATATGAACATATGAACTATGGCCACAGAAAGAAACAGTGCATTTGAATATATTCATATTCAGGTTTCACATTTGTGTGTGTGTGTTTTGTCAGCACTTTCAGATATGTAAGGAAAATGTATAAAATCAGATATTATTAAATTCTGTCTTCATATTGGAGCTCTTGTGTGTTTAATAGTTTTTTAAATTTTAGTTTTTTTAGGTGTTTTTCATTTAATTTAAGGTGTTTTTCGGTGTCACAATTATATATCAACAACTATATATCAACAACTTATATATCTACTAAAAAATGTGCTAAATAAATTCATACTGCAAAAAAAGAAAAACATTTTTTTTTTTTTTTTTTTTCCAGAACAACATTCATCTTAACATTCATGAATCAAGATACATTTAATTAAGAAGCTAAATTATTTTAAAGTAGTACGTTTTGTTTTCTGGATGAATGAATGAATGAATGAATGAATGAATGAATGAATGACCAAACAAACATTAAATATCTGCCAGTGTGGTCATAAATATAGAGAAAACAAGTTCTTTTTTTTTTTTTACTCCTTTGGCAGTCATTTTTTTCTTGTTTTAAGCATAAACTCACTTAATTTTAATATTTTTTTTCAGATAACAAGACTTATGTCATTTTGATTCTGAATTAAATGTATCTTGATTTAAAAATGTTTATATATTTGTACTGGGAAAAAAAACAAGATAAAATACCTGTACTGTAGATACGGTAATTTATCTCATTTTAAGTAGGTCCAGAAATGCCAGAAAAAAACTTTTGCATTTAATGCATGTGTGCAAAATATGATTATTGTCAATCCCAGCAGATTTTCTTCATTAGATGGAGCTGTCAGTCAGTTGTATTAATGTTAAATGCTAGATGTTGTCATGACACTGCATTATTGACAGAAAGTGTTGACACATAATGAGTGATAAAGGAAAGGAGAACATATATTTTGTGATTAAAAGCATGCAGTAGGTAAATGCCTGCAAGGTTATAATATTCGGAACAAAACATTTATTTCTTCATCTTTTATCCTGTTGTCACAGCACTCGAGACTCACTGCATAGTAAAATATGCTTGTAGCAGCAGGACTCCTGACATGGAAGGCGTTTTGTGAGGTTTTAGGCTCTATTAGCATAATAAAGGCACCTGAATCTATCAAAAGCCCATCAGCATTGAATGACTTTAATGAAGATTTACTGCATAAACACAGTTTGTCCTTGCAAACAAATGTGACATACTTCCAACAGCTGACTGCAAGAAAGTGCGAATAAGCAGGTCTGTGTTTGAAAACCAACACAGGTCTGCCTACAAGTTACTAATTTAGACCGTATTCAATGACGATGGAGTGAAATCAAGCACAAACAGGCCTCGGTCTCCTTGGATATATCGACAGCTGTGTTAAAATGACACGAGCATCTCAGACCTCGCAGATTCTCATCACAGATGGTTTCTTTGATGACTTTCCAGCTACCTTTAATTATTTTGCATTTCTTTAGCAGCTGTTCATAACTTTGCTTTACTGTGATGCTGTGAAGTGGTTTGGCCACAGCAGGAGTCCAGTGCGGTTTAATGCAGTTTTTGATCAGGCAGTGCATGGACGCATGGTCACATAGTCCCCCGCTGAATCCCGGGAGACTTGAAAGTCTGATCACATTTCCAGCACATATTTCTAAAGGTCTCCTCTTTCCGCAGGGTTGAATGGAAAGCTGGTTTGTATGGTGAATGATGACTGGTATGGCTTCACTCCGCTCTGCCCGCATCCACTCATTAAAAGTCAAGTGTCTGGGAGCCGTTCGTCTGCGTTTCTCACACCTGAGATCGGCTCGGATCGCTCTGGACCACGAGCAGGTACAGATACCGAACACTGAGCGCTGAAAAATAATGATTATTCACCCTGGCCAAACCCATATGACTTTATTTCTTCAGGCAACACAAAAGGAGATGCAAGACTGAATATTCACAGTCTGTCGAGCTCAGAAAAGCACTTTTGTGGCATTTTATGTGAGGAACTTAAAGTTAGGTTATTGATTGAAAATCATTCAAATTTTATTTGTGATGTTTAAACAGTTTGAGTTTTTAATGTTTTTTGAGTTTTTTGAGTGAAAACACAACATTTGATACATCGAACAGAATGACAACATTTTTACTTTTTACAACAGAGAGAGAAAAATATGCATGCAAATCAATTTTTTAGTTCTACTTTTTGTTTGTATGTATGCACATAATTTTTCTTCTTGTAAAAAGTAAAAAAAAAAAAAAAAGTTTGACTAATGTTTGACTTTAAAAAAAAGTTTGAGAAAATATGCACATATAAAAAAACACAATAAATAGAAAGAAATAAATAAATAAGAAATGGATGTGTATGTTTGTGGAGGTAGTTATATATGCGCATAATGAATGTTTCAATGTTTTGAATGTTTTAGAGAATCACCAATGCATGGCTTATTCTTTGTTTGACTTTGAATATAAAACTGGGATAGAAGAAAAAATAGGCCAAAATACCCAAAACAGCTTGTCGAGATTTTAAGTCTTAATTTAGAATTAATACATATATATATATATATATATATATATATATAGTTTTTTTTAAACAATGTTGCACAAGTTTCTATAGCATGAATTGTAACATTGTAACTTGACAAAAAAACTAATGTTCAGTTACTAAATGGTTACTATATATATAAATAACTTAATTAACATTTGTTGATCATTACAATGTTTGAGATTTGTGTGTTCAAGTTTAGGTGTATCTTAATAATACACTGGCCTCTAGTTTTAAGAGACAAATATTGCAATGCCCATATCATGTATTAGGTGTTGAAAATCAAACATGAAGATGGAAGATTGTAGTTATTTTTACTTGCATTGCTAAATGCTAAACTTCAATTCCAAAAAATAAATCAATTCAAAAGCAGATCAAAGGTATTTAAATTGTCAGAAACCGTACATTTAGTTGGAGAGAATTAGTTCTTTAAAAAAATCAAGAGAAATAGGTTGCATTATTATTATTATTATTATTATATATTATTTAGGTGAACCTTTGTAAAGTTAGAAAAACTTTTTTTTTTTTACTTTTTTATTACCTACCAAGCCACATCTGAATATTTAGAATATCTTTAAAAAAAAAAAAAACTCCAGAAAATGATCCTCAAATATATAAATAGGTGTTTCTTTTTTCTCTTTTCGATATTCTCACTTCTGTTTCTTCTTCTTGCTCTCCTTCATCTCTCAGCACTGATTTCTGAAAGCTGGCGTGAGGAACTGAAGGATTTGGCCACTAAAGTCAGTCTTTCAGCGGTGGCTGAGACCCAGCAGGACAAGAGAGAGGTGCTTGACCTTTTACTTGCTGTAGGCGTCACAAATGATGCATGAATAATGTTCAGAACCGCATGAGCAGGAGGCAGAGAAAGCAGCGTTTCTGAAAGGATGGAGTGATTGTCAGCTGAGATGATAGAAACTTCTCATCTTAAGAGTGAAGCACTCGGCTGTACCGAAGTAAAGCCCAGCACTCTTTATCCACACACAAAGATTTAAAGCTTCACTTTATTCCTACCCTAACACCTACAACAAACATTTATTTTTAAGCTTTTAAATCGCAATGACACCTCCCGCATTGCAAAACGCTGCCGTCAGGAGGCTTTGAGTACAATCTGCTGAAAACAGACGGTCAAATCAGATCCATTCCTTCAGACTATGTACAGTAACAGAGTCAGATATTAACCAGGTTTTGGTGTAAAATGCAAAATAAGTTATTTTTAATATGTAAGATTTTATACATTTTGCATTCCAAGCCAAGATCTTGTGCATCTTTTTTTTTATTTACTTCCCAAATGACTTGAAATCTGATCTGACCATTCAAAAAAAAAAAAAAAAAAAAAAAAAAAAATTTCAGTTGTGTTTGTAAAAATCTGATTTCATGAAATGACTGTGTAGAAGGTCATGGGTGTGATTACTAGTGAATGCATGAACTGATAAAAAATGCATTTAATGCAATGCAATGCACAAAGTTTGTTTATTGATTCGATTGATTCACTGATTTGTTTGTTTGTTTATTTTTAGTGTTTTAGTATGCACTGATTTTATAGATACATTTTTAATTCTGTGATATTGATTCAAACATGTGACCCAGGACCATAAAACCAGTCTTAAGTGTAATTTTTTTTATAATTGAGATAAATAAATAAGCTTTCCATTGATGTATGGTTTGTTATGATAGGACAATATTTGGCTGAGATACAACTATTTGAAAATCTGGAATCTGAGGGTGCAAAAAAATCTAAATATTGAGAAAATCATCTTTAAAGTTGTCCAAATGAAGTTCTTAGCAATGCATATTACGAATCAAAAATTAAGTTTTGATATACTATAATTTTGACTCATACAATGTATTGTTGGCTATTGCTACAAATATACCCCAGAGACTTAAGACTGCTTTTGTGCTCCAGGGTCACTTACGATAAACTGTATTAAAACAAAGCAAGCAGAAATTAGGCCTACCACACTCTCTTTAATAGCAGAAATCATAATCAAATCAGCCAAGATATAAAAAATATTAAAGGCGTGATTTGACTGATTTTGTTTTAGAGATTAGATTCTAATATCCACCTTTTTTAAGGCCTATGACACACATCATGTGAATTATGGGAGTAAGTTCTGTTAAACTGTAAAAAATTTGCAAACGCTTTGCTCTATGAATGCAATAATAAGCAAAACTTGGGTACAATGAGCTGACATTGTTACTCACCCTTCAACCATCAAACATTAAAAGGAAATTTAAAAGTGTAAACGCATTAACAAATTACTACAGCAGACCATGAATAACCCCAAAAAGCTAAATTATTCCTGCAGAAGTATTATGGACATGTTAAATTAACCTGTTCATATTATGAATCATATTATGTTCATTAACTGGAACACAGTGTTATCATTTTTCAAAATGATTTCAGTCATTATAACGGATAACAAATATACAACATTCCACATTCCAGTAAAAACGGCTAATGGGGATTAGAAGTGAAACGAGGAGACCTTTACATTTAAAGCGTCCCTGTGAAAACAAACCTGAAAAAACGAGATATACTTTGTGCATTCCAGTTCATTATTAATTAAATCAGGAAAGCAGAGCACAAATGCAAAGTATATGTTGCATTTTTAGTATTGTTAGAGCACAATGTAAAGGAAAAATGAAAATAATGAGGAAAATAATGCAGCACAGTGAAAAGAGCTCTTCCATACACTGTAAAAAAAATATTTTATATTTTAATATAAAAATTCCGTAAAATTTACGGTAAAAAAACGGCAGCTGTGGATTCCAGAATTTTTCTGTAAAAGATACAGTAGCAACATTTTAGGTTTTACGGTTTTAACTTAAATTTACAGTTAAATACCGTAATTTCATTAACTGATATAATGTTAATATACCAACCTATTGAAGTACTGAAATCTGTTTTGTACCGTTGTAATACACTGATAACCACCAAATGCAGGAGGTGATGAGAAAGTCCATCACAAGCAGCTTTTAAATAATAACATATATAGAAGGTGCACAGTGTCATTCACACAAACACTAAACACCAACATGGTAACACACATTAAACTGAAATAATGCAATAAACATTCATTTAACAACATTAGGTGTAACACACAGCCTTAATATACAAAACTGATAAGAAAAAACTAAGAAGAAACTTAGTTATTTCAACAAAAAAACCATCAAATTTGAAATGTAACGCAGGGAATTCTGGGAATGTCAATTTACGGTTATTCACTGTAAATTATACGGTCTTCCAAAAACGGTATACTACCGTAAAATGGACATGTAATGTCCAATACAGTTTTTCACCGTATATAGTAGGGGAATTTACCGTTAACCATTTAACAGGTTTTTACTGTAGCATTTTTACAGTCTTTTACCGTTAAATTCACGGTCATTTTTTTACAGTGTAGATATTCCTGTTATACCATTCTCCTTTCGTCTGAAAATAGAACATGAAGGAAAATGTTCAGCTCATTCAGTAAAACAGACAGATAAGGATTATTTGTAGCACATCTTTATGATTAGAAATGATTTGTTTCCCCCAAAGAGGAAGTGCCTCCCATAATTTTAAAATGCATTAGGCTCGTTTGAAAAAAGGTGGATTGATTCACATGCATCGTGTGTAACATTTTGAACTGGATTAATGGACATATTATGTTAGATGACGCAGAATGAATCATACATGCGTTATTGGAGAATACAGCCAGTCTTTGTGTTTGTCTGTGAATAAACTCAAAGAAACTGACAGATGAGGAAGTTCCTCGCAGGAAGACGCAGTATTCGGCGCAGTCCGGCCGAATCATCCCTGCCTCGTCCTGGGGAGGGAAGAAGCGCAGCAGCAGGACTTCACACAAACGAGCTCAGCGATGGCAGACACAAACCCTGGAGGGAGTGGAGCTCAAGGTAACACACCTGAGCTGATTTACTGAGCTCAGCAATGACATTCTAACGCCACAGTTTGATAGTGAATGTGAGCTCCAACGTTTAATGCAGTAGAAATTAAATCCCGCTTTTTAATTACAATTGCTAGTCACATTTTTGGTAAAGGCATCACCTGATTTATACGACAGATTGCATGTGGTGTCACATGCATACATGCCTTAATTACAGTTGATTAAGGATAAAACTCGATTGATTTTTTGAGCGTCCTCAGAAGTAATGTTTCTATAGAAACACTCTGCAAAATACTAAATAGCATTAATTCCCCTCTTGCAAAGTGTTTCAGAACAAATTAAGTGCATCATGCTGAACGAACTCAAATAAAACACCAAGCAGAAACACACAGCCAGTCAAAAGTTTCGAATAAGGTTTTTTAGACCTTTTTTTTTTTTGAAAGAAGACTCTTCTGCTCACTGCTCAGACTGAATTTATTTGATCAAAAATACAAGAAAAGGCACTTATATTGTGAAATATTATTACTTTTTAATATAACTGTTTTCTGTGTGAATATATTGTAAAATTTAATTTATTCCTGTGATGCAAAGCTGAATTTTCAGCATCATAGTTTTAAAATGTATTCTGTCTGAAAACAGTTGTTTTAAAATATTACTGTTTTTACTGTATTTTTGATTCAATAAATTCAGCCTTGGTGAGCAGAAGGGACTTCTTTCTTAATTAGTCCAAATGTTTGACCAATAGAGTATGTTTGATATTTTTACACTCAAATTTTCTTTGTGAGGAATAAACTGTGGTCGTTTTCTTAGACTTATTTGATCAGACTGACAAAACTTAATACATGTCTATACAAAACTGTAGTAAAAAGTGTATTTATTGCACTTGCTGAATTAAGCATGCAATATGTTGTGCATAACCATGTTGCAAACTGCAAATTGAAATTATAAAAATACAATGAAATCTGCAATCTATACAGTGTGCTAATAATTAATTCAGAATGCAGTGTGTCAGGATAGATCCTGAAGCTCTTCTTGTTTGCTCATTTTCAATTTAGGATATGATGAATATGAAAACGGGATAAGCAATTCAAATATTTAATTACCATTCCATCATTTCAATATTTGGTTAGCTGGTTTTATTCAGTCCTGTGGGAATGAGCTGCTGATATCAGTGTTCACTCTCTCTCTCTCCAGGGTTATTAAAGTTATTCTCATTTTCATTCATTTTTATTTAGTTGAACTTGATGTACTAAAGTGACTAAAACGGAAATACAAATTATTCTAACTCAAAAGACAAAAACGCAACAAAGTTACTGAAATTTGTATAATCATATCTCAATGCTACTAAATGAACTGTGTTTTTCTCAGGTGCTGGAGCTTTTGTGTCAGATCCTGCAGACTGATTCTCTCTCGATGGTTCAGCAGTGGCTTCTGTTGGCGAGTGACAGAGGTGAACAATTTCCCTTTGATTTAATTGATTGATTTATTAGCAATTAACCAAATAACCGACACATGGTGAATGTTCTGCTTTGAAGAGCATTTAAAGATCTTCATGCTACTATCCTAAACTGACAAAATGACGTTTTTGCTGATGAAATGTAAAATGCACAATCTCTTTTTTCCCAGAAGATAGACTGAAAGTACTGATTACTTCTAAAGGCTACAGAGTTTGGTGTTTCTCTTGTGTGAAATCTATTGTTCTAATGCAACTTACAAACACTGTAGATATTCAGGAGATGCATGAAATTATTAAGAACCTGAGAAAAGGAAAATAATATGCATTAAAAAAAACAGCCATAAAAGTGAATTGCTCAGAATATTTTAGCTTTATATAAATAAGTGATGTCCCTGTTGTCCCTGACTTCACATTGATCTTTGAAGTAGAAAATTCTTTGTTAAATTTAAAATGCTTGAGATGCTTATGCAAACATAAAATGCGATTGCTGTTAATATTTTAACTATTATTTCATTGCAATTATGTAATCAAACACCTTCATGTGTTTGTGAAATATAAACTTAAAATTGCGAGATGTAAACTCTGAATTGCGAAATATAAACCCAAATTTTGCTAAATAAACTCAGAATTGCGAAATATATTGCGAAATATCAACTCAGGATTGCAAAATATAAACTCAGAATTGCAAAACATAAACTCAGGATTGCAAAATATAAATTCAGAATTGGGAAATATAAACTCAGAATTGCAAAATGTAAACTTAGAATTGCGAAATAAACTCATAATTGTGAAATATAAACTCAGAATTGCAAAACATAAACTCAGGATTGCAAAATGTAAACTTAGAATTGCGAAATAAACTCAGAATTGCTAAATATATTGCGAAATATCAACTCAGGATTGCAAGATATAAAGTCAGATTTGGAAGATGTAAACTCAGAATTGCGAGGTTTTAAAGTCAGAATTCTTACTTTTTCCTCAGAATTCAAAGAAAGATGTCAGAATTGTGAGATTAAAAAGTCACAATTACATATGGTTTTATCCTGTGTTTTGTTTGCACTTTGCCTCAATTTATTCAAGTTACTCACGAGATCATCTCTTAAAATAATCACCACCACCACCAACAAAAATACATAATGCAGTACAAACACAAATAGTCCTATTAGTTTCCATTAAGGAAACATCAGTGAGTTTAACACCTGGACACGGGCCGCTTGCGTCCTGCAGATGGATGTGCTAATGACGTGTTTCTGCTCTCAGAGAAAGAGCTGGTTCAGGGGTTACTCCAGCAGGCCATGGCCGACTCCAGCTCTCTGACCCAGCAGACGTCTGGATCTGAACTTCTGCCTTTGACGTCTGAAGATCTGCCTGATCACGTGTTCCTCAACTCGTCTGTCAGCCGAAGGAAGAGCATGTGCGTGTTTCCAGCAGGGTTTTATTGGAGCTGTCTTAGATTATTGGTAGAATACTGTTCCTATCTATTTATGCAGTGTACTAATTACTCTCTCTAAAAAGTATTGCATTACTTATTACTAATTACTTTCTAAATCACACATCAGCCTCAGCCAGTTCAACGGTATAAGGATAGACATGAAATGCTCTTTTAATTCTTTCAAATAAATAATACAAAATTGCATAAATTATTCTTAAACTGACCAAAGTATTTAAAGGAGAAAGTTACAGTTAAAACATAAATTTTAGCATTAGATGTTTATTTTTGATGTTAAAAATCCTTTATTGTTTTGTGTAGAATTGTTCTATAATCTATACAGTATTTAATGCAATTACATCAAGAGTAACTGTAATTAAATTATGAAAAAATTAAGAGTAATCCCTTATATTACGTTTTCAAGGTTAAGTAATTCAATTATAGAAATTGATTATGCATTACACTCAACATTGCTATTAACTAACAAGAAACTCTGATTAACAAATAAGTTAATTAGTAGAAATAAATTATCTAATAAATACTATTTTTGTAAAAATATAAATATATATACTCAGAGTATTCTCTGAGAGAATAAGCTAAATATAGTTTCATAAAGCAAACGGAAAATTAATTCTACCATGCAAACAAATGTATTTCTTACTCAGTATTTTTCCCTAATATATATATTTTTTAATTTATCAATCTAGAAATTGAAATGAAGTAAGATTATGCTTAAAATAAGCAAAAATATGTCATTGTGGTCAGAAAAATAATCTTATGTTTGTTTGTTTTTTTGACCCTGTCTGCAGATATTTTTCTTGTTTTAAGCACAAACTCACTTAATTTTGATGTTTTTTTCACCCTAGAAAATAAGTCATAATATCTGAAGTCATTTTGCTTTTCAAGTAAATATCTTGTTCTAAGAATTGTTTGTTTTTTTATTTTTGTATTTATTTTTTATTTTCTTGGACAAAAATACTAAGCAAGCATTTTTACAAGTTATAAAGTGGTAACTGACTAGTAATTGGTAAAAAAATTGGTATAGGAACCATTTTCACTCAGAAATCGTTCTCTCAAATTTCACAAATAATAGCAAAAAAAAAAAAAACATTATTATTAATAATTATTTGTAATAGTATTCTAAAACTGAAAAGCATGATAACTCCCTAGTAAAGTAGTTATTTTCATTGTAAGTGTTTAAAGAATTTTGTAGCGATTGTTTTTGGACAGTAATTCCTTCTGAAGGATAATAACTAATAGTGAACTAGTAGTGCTGACTAATTCATTCATGATAGTTTCTTGTTAGTTAATATTAATTACTACATTGTGAATACTGTGTTACTCATTTGTTCCAGAGTAGTTATCAGTTAATGATGGAACAGTATTCTTAAGTGTTACCCCTATCGTCATATGGTTACATGACTATGATTATGAATGTTTCAAGACTTTATTATCTTTCTTTTGCACAGTTCACATCACGAAGACACATTACAGGACAAACCAGGTGAGGCTTCTGTACTTGTGTCAGATGTTTTGTGAATTGGAGCATTATTAATACGCTGTTGTCATTTTGAGAGGATTGAGTTCATGACTCCACGTGGGCTGCTTTTGGCAGAGAAGAGTAATGTTGCTCTCAGCTTTGATTAAAACACAATTTGGCTCCGTTTCAAACTCTAGTGAGTCTCCGTCTGCATCAGGGTTCCTCATTCCTGGTCCTGTTTCCATTTCGTTTCAAATGTGCTTCAGCACCTGGCTAGGATTTTCAAGTGAACTCCCAGACTTTGATTAGTGGATTTAAGTGGAACTAGAACTAAAGCTGTAGGAAAGTGACTCTTCAGGACTGAGATTGAGATACACTGTTCACATAGAAAGCTACACTCTTAAAAATAAAGGTTGCTTAAGCTTTAATATTCATGTAACCTTTCCATTCCACAAAACGTTCTTTAGATTATTCAAGCGTTCTTTACATTAAAAACGGGTTCTTTTAATGGTTCTTTTCTAGTGTTAGTTGATTTTGAAGGATTTTGCCCACATTTTTCTTGAGGAGTCGACACTAGTAGTGTATATTGGACACAGACTCTGGTTTTTAGTGTCAGACTAGAAGATCAGGCGTGTTTGATGTTTTGAGACAATCTTAGAACACACTTTGCACATGTTTCTGTGTTTGTTTGTTGTTGGTAGTGTTTGCTCCTCTGTAACCGCTTTACAAAGTGGGCAAGTGTGTGATGCCTAGTGTTTTAAAATCTCTTGTATTGCAGCCTTAAAGGAATAGTTCAAAATTACATCTAAAGTTTGAAAATTAATCAGATTTGGAGAAATCAGCAATGGATGCTCTGCAAGTGAATGGGTGCCGTCAGAATGAGAGTCCAAACAGCTGATAAAAACATCACAATAATCCACAAGTAATCCACAGCACTCCAGTCCATCAGTTAACATCTGGAGAAGACAAAAGCTGAAACAAATCCAGCATTAAGACGTTTTTAACTAAAATATGAGTCCATAATAACGCTTCCTTCAATGAAAAAATGTTCTGGTGTGAATCAGGAGAGAAATCTGAAAACAGCTCTAAACTAATATGTGGCTGGATTCTGATGTGAGAGACAACAGGAGATGCACCTTTTTACTGAAAGAAGCGTTATTATGAATTATGGACTCGTATTTTAGTTAAAAACATCTTAATGATGGATTTGTTTCAGCTTTTGTCTTCTCCAGATGTTAACTGATGGACTGGAGTGCTGTGGATTACTTGTGGATTATTGTGATGTTTTTATCAGCTGTTTGGACTCTCATTCTGACGGCACCCATTCACTGCAGAGCATCCATTGCTGAGACACTGATGCAATGCTACATTTCTCCAAATCTGACGAAGAAACAAACTCATCCTAATCTTCGATGGCCTGAGGGTGAGCACATTTTCCGCAAATTTCTATTTTTGGGTGAACTGTTCCTTTAAGAAAAGTAGACAGCGCCTCCAAAATGACTGATTTGGAGTGGACAGCAACCAAGAGAGTCCAATATTTTGGTGTTAGCATATTATTAACAATCTGATATTCTAATAAGTACAAAAACAGTAAAGAATAATATATATATAATATATAATTGGACTGAACTAGAGCTTTTTCAATATTGAATGAATTATATTTATAATTGACATTGCTATCAAGTCATCTTGAATTGTTTTTTTCTCACACATTCAGTGCAATGCATTATGCTACTGTCTCTTTGACAAATACATGAAATGCTGCTCTAGAATAGTCTGATAAACATTAAAAAAAAGAAGGCAAACAATGCATTTTTAACTGAACTGACCTATTTTAACAACATCACCTACATTTAGGAACAGATCTCTTGTTTAGCCTTTTATCACCATAGAAACTTTAACAACTAATGGAAAATCAAGTTAAAGATATCATGCATTTCACCTTGTAGAGAGAACTTGTTTGTTGTTAAAAAATAAAGAGATGCATATTTATACTCTGAAATCACGATAAATAAGATATTCTGAAAATAGCTGCCAATGAAGCTGGAATCAAGTGAGAGTCGACCACTACACAGACGTCAGATTCTAGTAAACAAGCACTCGAGCGCTTCTGTTTGTGGTTTCTATAGTAATGTATTACAACTAAATGACTATGTCTGTACATATCAGCTCAGACTGATGCTCTGGGTTTCTTCAAACTCAAATGACTGACTGATGTCACATTCTCAGAATGTTCTCAGGATGTTGTGCTGTTTGTCTCTGAGTGTCTCTTTCTGTTCTAGAGCGGATCGGAGAGGCAGAAGTTCTCACGCTGTACCCAGAAAACACATAATGTCGCTGCTGTCATGAACGCAACATCTGCATCTCATGCTACTGAAGTAATTAGCTCGTTTAGCAGTTGTGTTATCGTAATCATATAGTGCAATGCAATGTTAATTTTTAATTTCCTGTTAATAAAGCATACAAACAGGTATTTTTCTTAAGCATATTTATTTTCTGTGGGAGTCACGTCTCTTGTGAAATGCCACAAGTCAGGCAGCAAATTAAACAATTTAGACAGTTTAGAGCTCAAATAACAATATTTGCATGGAATATACTGTAAGCGCTTTAACACACATTTTTGCACATTTCTTCTAGAAGATCTTAGGCTTCCATTACTGTGCATCATTGTAAATTTAAAATACTTTCAATTGATAATCATGTTGTTTTGAATCCAGAACATTCAATTGAAGTAACAAGTTAAGCAAAAAGGCCAATTCTGTCATCATTTACTCGTGAATGTTATGATGCTTTACACTATTTTTAATTTTGCACTGTTTTAATTGTACGCAGCAATGCTGCAATTGCTTTGGCAACACAAATGTAAAAATATTTGCAATGCCAATAAAGCGCCTTAAAGCTGAAATGTAAAACTACTCAGGAGATTTCAAAGTCATACGACTTGATTCACTATGATTTTCAGTGAATAGCGACCTAAATTATATATATATATGCACACGCACGCACACACACACACACACACACACACACACACACACACACACACATACACACACACACACACACAAACACACATACACATACACACGCACACGCACACACACACACACACACGCACACTTATACACACACACACACACACACATACACATACACACACACATACACACACACGTATATATATATATATATATATATATATTAGGGCT